TTGCTTTAAAAAAATATATAATACAAATAACATACATCATTTTTAAAGCAACTATGTGTTTTCTTTACACCAATTGATTGGTCTCATTATTCCGTGCATAAAAGTATTAAGCTATGAATATCGCAAACTGAATATTTTACAAAATATTTTACATTTTAGTATAAAATTGCTAGCTTCAAACTTTATAACTAAAAGAGTACTCTATGTAAAAATACTTTATTATAGGGTTTTAGGAAACTCTCGAGATAAGCTACAAGAATATACAAAAAAAAATAGATGGTTCTATTTAAGAAATTAAAGTTGGACTTTACGTGATCTTTAAATAACTTTTCAAGGTCAAATCAATGGCACCAGCTTATGTCCCCCTCGAAACCATTTAGACAAAAGTTATATGGTGTCATTGATTTGACCTTAAAAAGTTATTTGAAGGTCACATGAAGGTCACGTGAAGCATTTTTGCTAAAAATGCTTCGTTGAAAAATGATCGAGGTGCGTTTTTTAAAATGGAACACCCTGTATATGAGAATCATGTGTTGGTTGCAAAAATTCTTTTCTTTATTACGCGAACGAACGAATTTTCGTGCTTGAATCGGGAAAGAAAATTCGTTATGGCAGGCGAGCTTCCCTTTTCCAATAATTGTCCTATTATTCTCTGATACTGTATTGAGCAGCACATTCTTCTTCAAGATTCTTATAAACTATACATGTTGTTACCGAAAGAAGATAGACACCGTAAAATGCTCTGTTTGTCTTCTGCTCGATCAAATAAAGGCCTATAACGATCCGTAAATATCCGTAATACTCGAATTCTATTATTTCTCATCTCAAATACTTCAATTCTCGCATTCCTTCTCAAACAGTGAATTATCACGTCCAGATTTACTATCCCTATCGTTCTCGTCGCGGTAAGGAAGCGACAGAAATAATTTGAATTTTTTATGGCTAACCTGACATAAATACACTTTGCAAAATACGCACGTTACGTCATTTCGAATGGAATTGCAAATATATACGATACGATAATTTGCAGCGCAATTTGCCTTGAAGCAATTCCGAGATATATATGAACAAATAATATAATTACATATATATATATATATATATATATATATATATATTACAATAAAATACTTATACGCGCGAGGATAAAATATATTGAAATTGAAGTGGATACAAAATATATTCAAACTTAGGGAGAGATTTTTTTATATTCATTAGATGACATCGTCGCGCGAGAGCAGATAGGAAAATTGAGTCACATCGATCGAGACCTTTCATGTAAGCACCTGAAAATTGTATTCTCGAAGTAAGATAATTGTATATACTATAAAATTCTTTTTAACAATTATTTCTAAGAGCCAATTTTTCAATAATGGCTTAAAAACTGCAGTTCAACTAAACGTCCCTTAATCCATAAATCGAGTTTTATGTATATTGAGATCAGTTAAACCTCAGTGAAACTTAAGTTAGCAACAGTTACTTGTGGCGCAAACACGATGTGCAAACGAAACATTATTAAACCAAAATTAAACTTAAATAAAGCGAAATTAAGTTTAATTCAAATTCAAGATTAACATTTTCTAGAAAAGCATGTAAAATTAAAAATCGAAAAATTAATAAGAGTAGAAAAGGAAATATTAAAACATAAACTCAAATCTAAGAAAAAAGGATTATTATAATAAAAATTTTTATTTTATTATACAATTTTTATTTTTTTACATAAAAGTTTATCAAAATATTATTTGTACCTTTTTTCAGTAAATTAATACGATTAAATTTTGTTTTGAAAATTTTTTATTATCATGATTACGTACGAATATGAAAATAGAAATAATATAAAGATTGTTATATTTTTCTATCTTAATTATAAATGTTAAAATTAATTAAAAATTCATTTTATCGATATCTTATAATGAAACTTTTTCATCCAACATTTCAAAATGATTTAATCTTGACATTACAATACGAACTATTTTCTGCTTAATATATATCTTATATAAAATATCTTTAATATTTATTTCAATAAATTTAATAAATTCAAGTATTCTAAAAATATTTAGTTTTTATATGTAATAAATAATAAATTGTTAAAAATATGAATACAATAAAACTATTGCAATCTTTGTACCTGTGTGCTATAAAACAATATACTTTTGTTCTTAATGTAAAAATAAATTTCATGTTTATGAGTTAAAAATATCTGATATTAATCTTTAGATTTAGAGGATTTCTCTTTTAAGATAGGTGGATTCTTTTGACGTTTATTTTAGAACAGAATATTCTAAAAATAAGTGAGAAATTCTTAAAATGAGAATACAATGTTTTAATTAAAATTAAAAATCCTAAATCAATTTCATCAAAAATATTTTAATCGAAATTTACAATTCTCACTTTATTATTATTTTCTATTTTTTTACGGCAAATATCAGTACTAATCAATTATATAAACTTTATTATATTGTTCAATCTCGCATATAAAAAGAATCAGAGAAATCTGTTCGTAAAAAATCAATACCGTCAACGATAAGGAAAAAAATAGGAAAAACACTATAGAAAAAAGATTTTTCAAAACATACCAGTACATCATGTACCTTCCTTCTGTTCTCGTTTGTTTGCACTGGTACTTCAACGTGTAATCAATCAAGGAAGCGCAATTAGAAGAGCGTTTTCGACTCGTATCCGCGAAACACTCAAACGACAAAAAAAAAACACCGAAAAGCACGAGAAAGCTCGTCGAAGTGGAGCAACGAGAGAATTGAAGGGTGACGCGTTTGACATAACCTCCGTACTCGACTGTAATCCGAGAGAAGACGGGAAAGTGTAAGTGCAGATGACTCTGACCAGGTTGACCGTTCCACTTATCGCGGAAATTCTAATTGCCAGTCCAAATGGATTTGCAAACGGCACGCCAAATGACTGAGAGCGATTTAGTTCAGTGGCGGTTGATCGTTTCTCCTAAAATATCTCTTTCTCGAAGTCCCTCCACGCGAAGGATATCCAGCGGAAACTGGTAGCAGAATCGCACAGGATTTGACATCGCGCGAATAAGTTATCAACGATGACGCGCATAATTCGGACCCGATGACATAAGGGAATTCGCAAACCGTGTATAATATTTAAATCATTACTTCTGTAGATTAATAAAATCCAAATAGTGCTTTAATTTATAATAAAAATATTATTTATTATGAAATATGTTATAAAAAAAATCAATTTCAATAAACTTGTCTGTCGTCTTATAAACCTCTAACCTAAGATTTTTATTTTTTTTTAAATTAACAAATTATTTTAATTATATCATCTAGAAATATTAAAATATATAAATTCTAAATTCTAAATTATGGAATGTTGTTTACTTAAAATTGATTAAATGTAATTATACGGTTAAATCAGGTATTTCTGTAGATTAATGAAATACAAATAGTGCATTAATTTACAATCAAAATATTATTTATTTTATTATAAAATATGTTATGAGAAAAAAATCAATTTCAACAAACTTATCAAAAATTTGTCTATCGTTTTATAAACCTAAGATTTGTTTTTAATGTCTAATAAATTATTTCAATTGTATCATCTATAAATATCAAAATATTATAAATACTAAATTATGAAATATTATTTACTTAAAAATTTATTAATAACATATTATACGGTATGTCTACATTTGACGGTAAGCAGCTTATTCTTTTAAAACGTCACCGATTAAAAGTAATGGCAAGGTCTTACTAAAGATCAATAAGTATTTTTAGTAAAAATGTTGACACTTTGCTCTTCCATTTTATGTTCCATTTATTAAAACAGAACGATTTCATGAAAAATTAATCGCTGTCACTTATTGATTTTTCTTACTAATATTTTATTGTTTGCAATTGCTCATTACTGAACCTACATATATTGTTTATCAGTGATGATACATTGATTATATTTAAGAGAGTACGATGACCAAGATATAATCGACCTATGCACATGATAATGTGTGTTCGAGCATTTGCTGTCAGTTTGAATAGGCAAATTTAATGTACATTTGACAAGCACAGATGAAACAACAAATTGCAAATGCAGGATTACAAGCCTGTGATTTTGAAATTAAATCAAAATTTCTGTATGTATAATATAATCAAGAAATTAAAATTTTATTAACATTAATATTAAATATTAATATTAATATTAAATATTAAATATTAATAAAAGTTTTTTAATAAATACTTCTCTAAGCAAATAAAAACTTTTTTTTAAATTTAATTAAATTATTTATATTAACAGATACTCATGTATCCAATGATTAATATTGTAAAATTTAAAATTTTGATAAATGTAAAATTAGAAATAATGAGATGCTTATATATCTTAATCAATGGTCTCATTTTATTTTTAAGATATTTATATAAAATATGTTTGAAAAGGAGAAATAAAAATGTTCTTATAATCACGATTTTTATCTTTATAACATATAACGTCAAGATTGAAGTTCATCGAAGGTGTATCTTTGTAATAAAAAAATAATTAGCAAAAAAATTTGTTATCTCTGTTCGTTACCTTTACGCAAATAAAATTGTTTCGTATAAAACTATCTGTTCACAGAGAAATTCCCTCTCATTCATATCCATTTATATACATTTTCTAATCCTATTAAAATAGAAGCTTTTGTAAATCGCCGATGAAGCTACAGTTAAAGCGCTTACCTATCTATGTAAATCCTCTTTTTATTTAACATATCATTCTTTTGTATATGATTCAACTATGAAATCGCGTTAATCAAAAGGCTATCGCGATTGCTTTGCACACGATAAATATTTCTCGCTCTTTATCTCTCCCGTGAAGTGTGGGATTCTGTTTTCACCTCATAGAATGATGGAGAGAGACAAACGAGAAGGTTAGGACGAGACGAAGGGAGAGATGGGAGAGCAACTAAGCTACAGCTGGTTTGCGACTGCGTCGAGCGGACGTAGATCCTCCGTGTGAATCCGAGATTCCTTCAGTTTATGCTGCGCACCCGATCCGCCGAACTGGTATCCGGGGTTGGTGTATATATCGTACGAAAGATCATCCGTTTTAAAATATTATATAGACAATCCGTGATAAACGCATACCTAACTTCCCTTCGCGGTGCGAAACTTCGTAATAATAACAATAGTGTGTATTATTAATATTCATTTGACAGTTCTTTGACGTTTCGATTGAATTGCGCGCTCATTTTTCTGACGAACAAAATTAGAGATCTTTGAAATTAAAATTGACATATCGAACGTGTGGATTCTTTTTCTGGAAGAACCGGTGTTTTGCTGAGGTATATTATTAAAAAATATAATATCGCGCGAACCTCCCGGCATTTTAGCAAAATTTATGATGGTAATGTGTTTTTCATTTTTTAAATTTACGCGTGTAATTTAATAATAATTTTTTTTTATTTTTATCTAATTTTTGATTGTTACAATTGTGAAATCTTGGTAACAAACAAGTGAGATAAAAATAAAAAATGTAAAAAGTAAATGTATTATCATGTAAAATGTATTATATGTAAATGTATATATCACATAAAAAAAATAATTGTATATTAAAACGCAGCTAACAAAATTGTGTTCTAGTAAACCGTCGAAACTCAATTTAGTTTTATCTCAAGAAAACGCGACAATTTAGAAGAGTGAAGAAAGAGAAAGCTTATCAGGTAAGCATTTTTAAAGAATTACCTTTTGTTTGTGAAAGTCTCGGTAAATGATAAGATGCAGAAAAATAAGTTAAACGAGAAAAACGGAAGTTATTATGTATATACAAAATTGTGATTTTATTTAAATTTTAAATGTATATTATATAATATTTATTGTAGATTTAACTTGTTTTTCTATAAGACATGCAAAAAAAGCACACTTGTAAAATTTGTAGAATTACTCTCCTCTTTTTATATTAGGAACTACATATTATAATAATTGATAATTATTTATCTTCTTCTCACATCAGCATAATCTTTATAAAATATATTATAATAAAATTTTTCCAATTTGCGTAATAATTTATGCTTTAAACTTTAAAGTAATTATTAAAAAATGTATAATAATTAATAACGAAATGGAGTTTCAATTTGTCATTATTTGTATAATTTATTACAGTATATTAAATGATAAATGTAGTATCAGTTAGCAAAAATTAAATTTTTAATTAAAATATTAATCAAATATGAAATCAAATAAATATAATTTTTACTCCATTTCAAGTAATTCAATTGCGTATCAATTAACATGTCGAGTTATTTTTGTTGCAAAAGATAAAGCAAAGTGAGACTAATGTAAGAATTATAGTGAAACCATTTTATGTAAATAAATTCTTAATATTTACGTAGATATTTGAGAATTGCCAGACAGAATTTAAAAAAGTAAAACTCTTCTCTCGACCGTACTGGCAAATATTATTTATTAAATCACAACGTTTTGACCCTTATTCTTTGAGTTCTAATCAAGTGACTTGTGAAAATAAAATAATAATTATTTTTATTTTCACAAGTCTCTTGATTAAGACTCAAAGAATAAGGGTCGAAACGTTGTGATTTAATAAATAATATTTGCCAGTACGGTCGAGAGAAGAGTTTTACTTTCTTAATATTTACGTACTTTTAAGTCTTTGTAGAATAATATAGAATAATTATAGAATAATAGAAATAATTTAATACTACTTTTTCTCTAATGTTATATCCACGCGAGATAAAACAAAAGGATTATGTATATGTACTATTTAAATTTATCCATGAAAAACATGTAAAAACTTGATTATTATATTTATTGCGATTCACAATTCATCATCTATTACGCTCATCTCGATGAACGGATCAAATCTATGGGTCTGTTCTTTTTAGCTGCGAACTGGCTACACTAGTTCAGAGGTCTTTTTCCTTCCAATGTCGAGCAAAAAAGATAACCTTTGAACTAATATAGCCAATTCAGTTAAAAAAAATAGACCTTATGACGATTCTAAATTTTAATATAATATATGCAACTTTTGCGCTTTTCTTTTTTTTTCAAAGAATAATAAATCTAAAAGAATTTAAGCAAAATAAAAATAATTAATTGACTAATTTTAATAAATATTCTCTTCTAAGTTTCACACAACGTGTTGATTCTCGCGCTCTCGATAAAGCTGTATTTTATTCGAGATATTATAAACGTAAACAATTGTATACAGGGTAGATTTTTGTAGACAGCTTTTATGAAAATTATTTTTATATTCATTATTAACATAAAATTATTTATTATTTCTATTTACACAATTATAATATGTCATCAGAACTATGTTGTTGTTGTAACAAAACTACAATTTTATTTGGATCAAAATGAGTATACAATTGTGCAGATAGAAATAATACATGTGATATTGTTATGCAAATGCGATACGTCGCAGTTAGTAGTAATTAAAAGGTTTCATCCATTTGACACTTAGACTCCATTATTCGAGGATTCAACTACTAACATACGTCATATATGTAGAAGAGATATAAACCCTATATATGTACGTGGAATAATTGTTCGAAATGAAATTCAAGACTTCAACCAGTAAATCTTGCTTTTATCGCCCTTTTTTCGCGAAACGATCTCGATCTATCGTTTATCAAACGCAAATTTTATCTACTGAACAATTTAATATCAACCAGCTCCGAATATTATAATTATAAATAATAGTTTCTTAGATTTCAAAATACACGTGTACAAGAAAAAAAAGAAAGAGAGAGAAAGAGAGTTCAAAACCACTTTTATTTCTGAACGTCAATTAAATATATATTATCGCAACTTTACAGATTTCTCTAATTTATTTGAATTAAAAATATATAATATATAATAATGTATATAATAATATATAAAATATATAATAATATATTAAATATATATAATAATATATTAAATATATAATAATATATTAAATATATATAATAATATATTAAATATATAATAATATATTAAATAATATATAATAAATATATATAATATGTAATAAATATGAATTAAAAATATATGTAAAAATACATTATACACGAGATTTTAGCGATTTTTCGATATGCCATTAAGAACGTAAACGTGCTACCAAATTCGTTTCTGGATTCGCGCTAATACACGTGGAACGGAAAGCACTTATTATAGCCAGTGCTTCCAGGCACAATATCAATAACTAGGTTAATGTTAAGCAACTTTAGGTGACATAGAGGAAAGGGGAAGTGGAGGTGCTTTCAAAGCTTGTCGCAACGAGCATTATTTGGCGCCTGTCATCTATGTCAAGCAGAAAGTTTCGACGGAGATAGTGATATTTGAACGAACAGTTGCTACCATTATTTGCAATATCTATAATTTTCTTTTAATCATTATTACTTCGATTGCTCCGTCCCTTATTTTGCGAAATGTATCCTATATTTAGTATAAATGAAAAAAATAACTAGAAATATCTTTATAAGACACTACGTGCTCAAAATATTTTGTTATGTTTGAAAATGTAAAATAATTGAATATTTAAATTGCATGAGACTTGTGAGAAAAAGTAGACATCAATTTATTTTAAAGATTTAATATAATTTGATATAATAATTCCAGAGAATTTTCGATAAAAGTTTGCCAAATATTAATTCTAAAAATAAATGTAAAATTTCTGAGAAATGTGAATTTTGTTATTCATTGGTTTTATTTATATAATATAATTCTAAATAGTTTTTAAATAGTTTTATAATTATTTAACATTAAAATAATTTTTATATTACATTTTTTGTCAAAAGAAGATAAAATAATTAATTCGTTTATATTATTTCTACACAAAATATTTTCGCAAATGCAGCATGAAATTGCAGTATTTGTAATCTTATGATGGAATTTTTGTTATTGCATTTCGTTGCCGTACTAAATATTATTCAATCCTACAAACATTTAATGCTCATACAGTCTAGTACCAGGTTACAAAGTGAAGTTGAAGATATAAAAATATACTCGTATATAGAGTGTGGAAAGTGGCAAACAACAGTAAAAATTACATTACAATAAGTTGGAACTCTCGTTGGCAACCCGTGGTATTAGAAGAGTTTAAACTGCCATATAAACGTGACATGTGAAACAAGTTTTACCCTTTGAACTTTAGTAGTAAACATATTAAAGTCCGCAAAGGCATATTAAAGTTTATTATCTTGTTTAACTACAAGAAGCTTGTCATTAACAACAGTATCCTATTGCGATCTGTTCCGAAATTTTCAACAAGTTTAGCTATATTGAGAATAATGTTTGGCTGTTCTAATAACAATAACGAGATATTGATATTGCTATCACTTCGATGAACACGGAGGTAAACGCGAAATTTAATTTATGCACTAATTGACACATAATCACGTTCGGAAAGATTAGTAACTTGCGACTTTTTTATTTCAATTGCATAAAAAAATTGTAGTAATATATTATACTTTAGATATTTATTTTTGAAAAAATACTCGAAAATTAATTCTACATTTTATTCGTTCTAACTTTTCAGCGCGATAATTATTTTCTTTCGTAGAATTCTAATCACTTAATAAAAACAACTAAAATATTTTTTATCGTGAAATAAAGAGAGACATTCAAAAATATTTTGTTAAAAAATTAGAAACTAATGAAATAGTTGCATATAATATAAATGTGCGAAAATACATAATTATTTCCGTGCACACTAAATATGCAAGTCTAATAGTGTATAATACAATATAATTACATCTAGATATGAAACGTATTTTGAGGAATTATTTTACGCATTTGCATGCGTGTGAATACAAGGAAAGCAATTTTAAGAAAAAATGCAGCAAGTGGCATTTAGAAATCTCGGAATGAGGTCACGGGATTTATTCAAGGTGTTCGCAGTTGAAAGTTTGATCCGATTTTGTATTATGAAAATTCCACATTAGACTTCTGTGTCCACGTCATTAGCCTCTGTGAAATTTCAGCTTAGTCCAGAATTTAGAAGCTTAAATCTTGCATGTAAGAGGACGCAATTTTTTTATTCATAGTAGGTTTTAATATATGTAGAAAATATTCATAAATAAAATAGTCTTAATATCTTAGTTAACCTGCTTCTATTTTTTCGTGTAATTTCCTTTTGTTAGTAAAAGTTCTTCAATATGCATGAAATGATTCGTTATTTTTATACACGCATTTTACGTGCGGCAGAAACGTTACCACAACTTTTAATTTATAGCTCTTGTTGAAGATTTGCTCTTCACACACATTTGAGAATGTTTTCTTGTTGTAATAGAAGGTTTTTCTTATATTTCTCTAATGTTATAATATTTTATAAGCTTTTTTTATCATAATATTACATATTTTTTACGTTTTATGATTTTATATTGTATATTATTTGTACTGCGTCTATATTTATATAATTATTTTTATTTTTAATATACGGCACAGAGGTTACTAAATGTGAATGAGCTGTTAGAAATATCTGAAAAAATATAGTATGGTTGTGCGATATAAATTACACATAATGTTGGTAACAAAGCCAAATATTACATAATATTATTGGTTTGCATATTTTGCTTTGACACCGAATTATGGAAAACGCAATTCGTTACTTCTTTTGTAAAAGCGCCATTGTGTATTATTTTCCTCAACGCCGCTGTCACGTGATATATATTTTATCGGCACATGTATAAAATATCACGCGTTTAAAAATATGAACAGG